TTGAAGCTGCTCTAGCATCACGCTTTGTTGCATGCAGGAAGCTTGCAGTATTGGGCTACTATGTGCAATTTTTTCCACCTAAACAATCGCCTCACTTCGGTCATTGTTTGTGTGTGACCGTGACATGTTGTTTTTTTATCATACATCATGGACCCAAAGGCTGAGTTTCCCTCTTTAGTTCAACCAGCATTTCACATAGCAAAGAGGACATAACTTGACATACACCATAAGTAATTTGAGTATAAACGGTGTTTTGAAATTTACCCAAAGTTCCCGAGATTATTTCTTTATTTTGAATACCTTAATGTCAAAGCCCATGCAGTTACCCAAAAAACATAGTGAGACTCTCTACTGTGACATAAGTTCTTTGCAACTGTGCGAATTCTGTATTTTAAATTTTTTATTTTTTATTTTAATTCATCGTCTGAAAGAACTTTATATTCCACAGTGTAGAAATGTATATCCCATCACTGCTATATGGAATATGACAAAGAATTGTACTAGTACACCAATGATAGATTCTGAAGGAGAAAAACCAAGCGTCAAAGGCACAGAAAAAGTATCAGATTGCAGGTATAGCAAAATGCTGTATGATAAAAACATGAATTTGTTACTTCAGAATAACGATTACTAGTCCACTAACAGTAGACAATGTTATTATATGTCGAATTAGAAAAAGCTCCACAAGTTGTTTAAAAGTACATTACTATAATAATAATATATATCAGTAGATCTTCCTAGTTCAATGTAATTTGATATAAAAATGGTTGAAAACATACATGGCAAAGTCTAACTTTATGATTATCACTTTAGTAATATATATATAAAATCTGTAATATTCAGTACCATATTTTCATTTAAAAGTGTGAACACAAAACTTGGTACTTTCGATAATGCTTGCTTACTAATAAGAGAATTCATCCCCCTTTCTACCAATCCATCTGATAAGGACAAGAGAATCCAATAACACTTTCAGGAAATAGCAAGAATTGAACGAGGGCGGAGGAACTAGAATAAGGCCAAGAAGAGTACTAGTTTTCCTTGATGCAAAAACTGATTGACTTATCAAGATTCTGGCATTTGCGCCTTATTTATAACTAAGAAACTCACACAAGTGTTGCAATAGAATTTAGAGTCAGTCTAATTGGAGCTGGCTATGGAATGTAATGTTAGATTTTCCAGGACCACTGAAAGCAAGTGATAATTAGGACAACTTTTTGTTACATAGTTCTGGCAAATGCATAGATCTCTGAGTGGTGTGATTAATTATGTGTGCAGGGTAACAAATGGGTAGAACTAGAATATACACCGCTAATCTCCTATTAATACACTCCTTAATTTCCCAGGGAGTATTTAATTTTAGAATACAGTCATATTCATGCTGGTCTATCTATTAAGGTTCTTATGAGCTACCCATGAATAAACTAGGTTACCTTATCTTATACTTAAACCAAGCTGAAATAAACCTACAAAACAGCATTATATTTCATTACTTCTCTGTTCTGTTGAGAAATTTTATGTCCTATGTTTATGGACCTAGTTGCATTAGCTTCACTATAGAGCACTAAAAAAGTGATGATGGATGTTGAGGCCTTGCGGAACATAAAAACATCATTCGCAACACACAATTACCAACGTCGGTTTTAGGAAAACTAGCTAAAACCTTATGTCAAAATCATGGGTGGATAGTAAATAGGTTAATTTTTTATCTTTTTCCCTTTGGAAATTCAATTATAGCCGTCTTACTTTTACTACCTTCTTCTGAGTCTACTTTTCACTCTAAAACATCCAATTAATCCATTTCTTACTGCTATGGGGTCCACTTCGCATACAAACAAGATAGCGTCCAGCTAAGGAACAGGCAGATATACACTATCCCTGACCTTTTGAATGCTGACCCTCAAAAACCTATGCTTTCACCATTCAATTTCTACTGGTTGCTTGAGTGCTGTGAAACTGCTTTACGTTAAATGACCTTCCTGGGTTATCGCATATTCTGTGTTTCAACAATTTCTAGCATCTGTCAAATATGTCTCTAGGAAAGAACATACTAAATTTCTTGTGATTCACTAACTTTGTTTATAATGTTTTCACCTATTTCTGTAGAGATTTATTAATAGAATCCATTTTATTATAATATGTGAAAATGAGTGTGTTTATTACTATTAACTTCGATGTTGATGTTACAGAAAAGAAATGGTATTTAAAACTATGTGGCGTTTTCTCTTTTTATACCTTTAGATTTTTCAGTGAAGGAGGAATCTGTAATAGAAGACCATTGTGACATCTGAAGTTTATTTAAAATTTGTTGACTGTTTTATTGCATTTGATTCAATATTGTGTTAAAACCTTCACATTGTGAAGTTGAAGTAATTCAATGATGAATTGGGAACTAGAATTTATATTTTAACACAAATGTGAATGATTGCAAAAGAAAGTGCTTACTTATTGACCTCTTAACCCCTTATTATATTAGTAAGGAATGACAGTGTGAATAGAAATTATTAAAATCGATATAATATTTATTCCACAGAATGCCACTTATGAAAACTTGAATAGAATTAAATTATATTGCGAGATAATTTTATCAAGATTGTCAAACAACAAAATTATTCCATGATACTATCCTGTTGTAGCTTTATCCTCCTCAGCGTCCAGTGCAATTAATTTTGTTGTTAATTGTACTTGGCTGCCTTGAAGTCCAAGGCACATTGGCCCGCTCGTTGGGCATTATGCTTGAGGAGGTCGCCGAATTGCGACCAAAACGTTGGCACCCATACCTGGGCACGGCATCTCCCATGGCTCCTCCGCTGGACAACCCAAGTACATACTGTTTTGCCAGCGGAAGACCCCATGCTCTCTTTTTGTGTTGCAATAGCATTTTGATTATTTGTTGAAGGAACTTTGTTTGGAAATTGAAAACCCACAACAAACTTGAGTTATTACAAGGTGTACAGCGTGATGTGTGTGGGTCTGTGTGTGTTTGTTCTTTTTAGTAGCAAAGAAATAAATAATAACATTTTGTCTCCTCACAATAATGATGGTGTTCCTTGTGGATATGATAGGATATGCACACGTACGAACTTTTGATTGGGCTCTTGTGAACAAGATAGAAACCCTCCCCTCTCTAAATAGTTTAAACTTCTTTCTGTCATAATTAACTACGTGTGTTGATTTTCTCAGTTCTTTTATTAACTCTTTTGAGACGTAATGTCATAACATATTATGAAATGTCCCTGTCCGCGAAAAACAAACTTTTGTTAGGTAATA